AATTAACTGTCAGACGTATGATAGATGACCAAAATATAACCACATCTTTAATTATAGGATTTTTATCACAAATGATTTCTAAAATTGACCCACCCCCATCAAGATAGTTCCTGAAATTGAAAATCAATCAATGTAATCCCTAAAAATGGATATTACAAATCAACGTGATCATTATATCACTATTCCATTAAACATTATGTTATGTGCTGTGGCACATAAGTGGGTACCACAAGTTCAATTAAATATTACCATACAATTAAAAAATTGAAAGAAAAAAGTTGATCTTTCATCTTCTTCCGCTAAGCTCTGTGCAGACGTCGTAATGGCGTCTCGGTGAATTGCACCGGGTGCTACGCAATCAGGCCGAGAGCTCCATCAACGCCTCCATTGAGATCGAATCCGAGAACCAAAAAAAAATGGGAATAAACACAAATTCGGTGACAAATTCGATTCCGCTTGAACAATGCGAAAAGCTCGTCAGGATTTCCGGTCTGGTTTCGCTACTTTCGTCCATTACCCAGTTCTGAAAACCCGGCGAATTCACCACCTGGGTAGGACTTGGATTTGGGTTACGGCGTTCCAAGCTTTCTATTATGGCTTCCTCATCTGGTTCGATAAATTGGAGCTTTGAATCTAGCGCGGGGGGCGGTTGTGGTGTCGTGCTATGGCCCTTCTTCTTGTTGTTGTTTTTTTTTTTTTTTTTTTCAAGTTTTTAATTATATGAAAATAATTTTTTTTATTTAAGTCTTTGGGTCATTTGTGATTGCTGTGCTTTTTTTTTTTTTTAACGGTTTATGTTGTATTTTAAGAAAAATCAACTGTAAAATAAAGCAATTCAATATTTGATAAATTGTATATTTATAAGTGCGAGTATAACAAAAAAAATGTATCAGCGTTTGATAAATTTTAATATAAAAGTGATATTATTGATATTATTGTATATAATGATAAATATAGATATAGTAGTTGGGATGGTGACAACACCAGTGATGGTGGGGATAGTGCCAATGATGGAGGCGGCAATTGTGGGGGATTTGGTGGTTGTGACAAGAATATGGTGTGTTGGTTGGGGTGCAGGTGGCATCCCCGTGGACCAAGGTTCACATGTAGGATGATGATTAATAGCACTAGCACTAGCACAAGCACAAGCACAAAAATTCCCCCAATCTTAAAACAAGAACGTTCAAGATTGCCCTTGCCCCTGTTAAGTCTAGTTTTGATAAGTCAAAATATGTCGATTTTTTTGTTCAACCATGCAAGTGAGTCGAAATTTCGAATGGTGGGGTTGTCGCAGAGTCTTTTCACATGTAATAAGTCTATTAACTTTATCTGCGTATGCTCAGGTAAACTTTCATAACACTTGTGTAGAAAATTAGTCATTAGTAACAGATCTTGTGGCTAGAGATGAGGGGTGGAGATGCACTTTTACTTGGGTGGATTGAGTTGACTATTGTCCAGGGACTTTTCTAGAGGTGGAATTGCTCTAAATGAAAGGTTATAAGTTCGATTCTCCTCAAATGCGATTTGACGTATCAAGTTTCAAAAAATCATTAACTTGTCACTTCACTCAAACTCCGTTAAGTTTTACATACAAAATAAATCATCTGCAAGTTTCAGACTTTTCAACTCTCGTTTTTTTTAATGAACATGATTGACTATGTTGAATTCTCAAAACTTGTAATTAGTTAAACTCCATATTAGTGAGCCTAAGTACCATTTTAGTATTTCACCATAAGTTTACGAAACGAACGAGAGATTTTTTTTTCGTACCAAAAGATAAAGAACTTGTAAAGAGGAAGTCAAAAGTTGAAAACCAATTATCGTCCACCCCTACATATATTTTTGTACTAGCCTTCATGCGCTCACGCGCGTGCAGAAGACATTTTTTTAATCACAGTATGTTACGCGTGACTTACACATTTTAAATGTATTTATATGCGTAAATTGACAAAAGGAAAGTCAAATATTTGAAGTAAAAGAATAATCAATTAAAGCAGCTGAATCGACATAATAAAATCATTCTCTATTGAATTTACATTAAGAATAGAGAAAATAATATTTAATAAATAATTGATTTCAATTATTGCTAGTTCATTATGAAGCTAAGCCCACTCCCTCCTCATTAGTGTAGATAATATCGTTTGTTCAAAAAAAAAAAAATTCATTTGACAACTAATTTAATTACATTATTATGTGCGTGTGAAATGTTTTTTTTATAACGGGTATTACATGCCTCTTAAAATGTTTTAAACGTGCTTTAAAATAAAAAAATATATATATATTTAATAAACAATTGATTGAATCACATTATTGCCAGCCTATTGTAAGATGCTAATTATAAATTAATAATTAAAATGACGAAAATATCCCAACCACATTTAATGTATTATTTTTGGTTTGCTTTTGAAGTTTTTTATTTGATGGGCATTTCTGTCCAATTATTTTTGTGACGCTTGTACCCCCAAAAATCATTGTTCATCGGTGGGCTTGGCTTTATTTTGCATAAATAAAAAGTGTTACTACACCCACCCATCAATGCTATCTTATCACCCACTTTATATTCTCACAAGCCATAAAAAGTTAAAAACACCTAATACTCTGTTTGCACCATCGATTATTCCTAGAACGTCATTGATACATTTTTTCAACTATTTTCCTACAGAAAACAAAAAATGAAATTCAAAACCACACCACCTGACCCAATTCAATGGCAACCCCCTTCCCACCGCCAGCCAACTTTTTCACTCTGGAAACGAGGAAAATGAGTGACATTATCGGTCGAATCGATCGTCGTTTCTGGACTGGTAAGGACGATTTAGGTTGAGGTTGAGTTTGTTTATTTATGGGTTCAATTAAGATGGAGAAAAGAAAAGATTAGGTTGGGGATGAGACCCCAAAATAGTGGAGGATGGTTGCCGTCAGATTGGACGGGGTGGGCATGGCTCTTTGCTTTCCTTCTAATTTTCAATTTTTGTCTTGTTTTTTCTTCTAATTTTAACAAAGCAGCAACTAGAACTAGTATGTTGATTGCATCCGCCATTTTTTTTTCACAGCTTCTCATATCCTTCTCCTCAAATCTCTCTTTGTTTTTTGGGACTTATCCTCCATAATAAAGATAACAGTGTTTTTAAAATAAAAAAATTGGAAACAAAATGTTGAATTTATTTTATTTTGGCCAATAAAAAAAAAGATAATAATGTATTTGGTTAGGGTTTCAAAAGTCATTTTACAAAAGGTTAAATATATCATTAAAATTGGAATTTCATGAATTGGGGAGATTACTTGTGGAAATTTGGTACTGGAAGAATCAATGCGTGGGAGTGGGAGTGCATCAGTGTTAATATTATTGCTTTCTTTTCCACCAAACAGATTTATCTTTTCGGGGAGAAATTGTTTTTATGTTTTATATTTTTTTTACAATGATATATTTTTACAATAAAATTAAATTTGAGCGCTCAAATTTTACATTTTATTAATTAAACATTGTGGGATTTCAATTTTTAATTAAAAAGCTTCAAAATTTGATTAATGTGCTGCAACCTTTATCTATAACATTTGAGAGGATCCTTTTCCTAATGATCCTAGGGATTCTGTGATCTCACTCATTCATCGTATATTGTGCGGTCAGTTTTCGTTAGTTACTATTCATATTTAATTTTAAATTTTGAAAAGATTTATGACCGCATGATGTACAATGAACGAATGAGATCATGGGACCCTAAGATCCTTAGGAAAATGATCTGATCTCAAATTTCCAACTCAACATTTTATATAAAGTTTAAAGAAAATAAGAGTTTTTTTATTATTAAAACTAAAGGGGCTCCTAAATTTATGGCAATTGAAATAAATTTCAACTTTCTAACAATAGATGCCATGAAGATTGTTTCATTTTCAAGTAATGTAATATTTGGGGCCACTTCCTTCAATCTAATGGTATTCTTTTTCATTTGTAAGTAAAAATCCTAGGTTAGCTCAAGTTTTATAATATCATTTGTTAAAAAAAAATAAAAATTTGTTACTTAGTTCTACGGTCTAGTGGTAATTTCTCTTTACTTGTAAGTATGATGTTTTAAGTTCTATTTTCACCAAAGGTGAATTTAAACCATATTATTATTAGTCCATTCTGAGCTTAAGCCTACCCTGTCCTCCTTAATATAGATAATATAGTTTATTCAAAAACAAAAAAAAATATATTTGGGTTATCTTTCTCCAGTTTATCTGCCAGTTCATGGCACAAGAAAGGTGAGCCTACAATTAACTGTCAGACGTATGATAGGTGACCAAAATATAACCACATCTTTAATTATAGGATTTTTATCACAAATGATCTCTAAAATTGACCCATCACATCAAGATGGTTTTTGAAATTGAAAATCAATCAATGTAATCCCTAAAAATGGATATTGCAAATCAACGTGGTCTTTATGCCACTATTCGATTAAACATTATGTTATGTGTTGTAACACATAACTGGATCTCACAAGTTCAATTAAATATTACCATATGGATTAAAATATTTAAATAAAAAACAAATATCGTTTTCATACAATTAAAAACTTGAAAGAAAAAAATTGATCTTTCATCTTCTTCCGCTAAGCTCTGTGCAGACGTGGTAATGGCATCTCGGTGAATTGCACCGGGTGCTACGCAATCAGGCCGAGAGCTCCATCAACGCCTCCATTGAGATCGAATCCGAGAACCAAAAAAAAATGGGAATAAACTCAAATTCGGTGACAAATTCGATTCCGCTTGAACAATGCGAAAAGCTCGTCAGGATTTCCGGTCTGGTTTCGCTACTTTCGTCCATTACCCAGTTCTGAAAACCCGGCGAATTCACCACCTGGGTAGGACTTGGATTTGGGTTACGGCGTTCCAAGCTTTCTATTATGGCTTCCTCATCTGGTTCGATAAATTGGAGCTTTGAATCTAGCGAGGGGGGCGGTTGTGGTGTCGTGCTATGGCCCTTCTTCTTCTTCTTCTTGTTTTTTTTTTGTTTTTTCAAGTTTTTAATTATATGAAAATAATTTTTTTATTTAAATATTTTAATCTATATGGCAATATTTAATTGGATTTGTAAGACCTCGTTATGTGCTACATCAACAAATAACAAAATGTTTAAAGGAATAGTGATGAAAATACCATATTAATTTGCGATAACTATTTTCAGAGACTACATCAATTGAATTTCAATTTCAATAACTATCTTGATGGAATAGGTCAATTTCAATGACTATTTGTTATAAAAACCCTCAATTATACAGGGCTTATAAGTTTCCACAATTCAAGTGGTAATGTATTCCCACTTGTATTGACTTCATGACTTAGTAATTTAAAGTCTTGATCCTTGGAATTATTAGTTTAGACAATACACTATTTGTTGACTTGTAGTGCATGCATAAAGTTGGATGAAATCTATACACTTAGGATTTATTATTTGTTTTAAACTAGACAAAAATGTCCGCCCGTTGCTACGGAATTTGAATGCATCAACCTTAACTACTCGAATAAAACACATTTAACCTTAAAAAAAATCAACAAATCATGAAGGAACTAAAATGATAAATCTAGGAAATTATAAAAAGCATTGTAACCATAGATCTAGAAAATTATAAAAATTCATCCAATCAAGAGACAATATAATAGTTGTGGGAAGGTGGGTATGCAACTAAGAACCTAAGATATACTTGATTTGCAATTCCATTACCAAGTTTAATAAACCAACATAGATGAATTGATCCATCATTATTGTTTGTCACATAATTGTAGCTTCATCTTCCATCTTTTCTTTACTTTCTCAATTTCTCTCACACTACAACCTCATTCATCATTCAATGAATTCAGATTTCAAATAAAGACAGATGGCGCCTTAATGACTCGAATCCTCACTAACCAACTAGCTTAAATGCCATTGTTTTGCATTTGTGCATTTGTGACTCGAATCCTCACTAACATATCAAATCATGTATATATAGATTCTACTAGTTTATATGCATTTGTGCATACAGCACATATACTTTCGCCTCGACTAGTTTATATTCGATTCAAATCACAAGAACCTTTCGCCTCTACTGCCAACGAAGAAAAAAATTAGTCAATGATTAAAAGAGAAACGGACTTTCGTGAAGATTCATCAACAACATCATTAAGGCTTAGCCAATTAAATTCGTAAAACGGACGTATAATGCACATAAGAATCTTGAGTCTAATTTAAGAAAAATGAATTATGCTTATGACTTCCCACTGCAAATGTGTCATGCCTGAACGATTGAGCTTAAAATCCTAACACAACAGCAGCAAGGAAAACGGACTCAAAACAAAAATTAACGACAAAATTGAGTTGATGAATCCATTTAAGCACAAAAGTTTAGGCATTCACCAATGGTCCGACTTGAACGGCGTCTCATAAGCTCTAACAAATATTAAACTGTGGATGTCAATGAAAAGGAGGTAAGCACACCTAAGTTTCTATAGTACAGACACCAATCCAACAACTATATTCCATATATTCTCAACTCCAACTTTCAGTACAAAACCAAATTAATTACAGCAGTAAGCATCATGAAATAGTCGGTGCAAAATATTTGATAAAAATGAATAGGCTAAGTATGGGAAAACTTCACTACCATTAATTCAAAACAATTATTTAAAAGGAAATTCAAAATAAAAAACAAAAGAACTCGCCTGGCAAATCCTTCTCCAGGATCTTCCACTCTTCCTGAATTCTCTTTGCCACAGACACAATCGTCGGAGCTTGGGAACTGAATCCTTTGTTCGGAACTGTCGCGGAAGTGACCGACTATCAGGACCACGTCATCTTCAAGTGGCTGAGGGCGAAGCAAGGTTGAGATAAACAACAAAGAGCCACAAAGATTTGATCTTTATTAATTTAGCGAAAACCCCAATTCATATAAAACAACAGTTTCCACCACCATATTCATTTCAACAGCAAGCACAGAAATTGCATGTAAAAGAAATTACAAAAAATTGAAGAAATAGAGGTAAGAACAATACCAAATCCAGGCCCACCAGGTCCTGTGCTGCTACTGTGCAGTGTAATCAGCTTCTCTGAGACCATTTGTTCCATAAAATCTGGCGCTTTTGAGCTCCAATCTGTGTAAACACTTCTAGAGTTTGAAGGGGTGCAGAGAAAAATGGGTTTAGAAAGCAGGGAAGAAAGTGCCAGAAGCTAAAACCCCACTAATCATTTTTTACTTCAGATTCTCAGATTCTGTCACTTTTTCATTGTTTCTCCCCTTTTCTTGTCAGCTCTCAACAAAACAAATATCTTCTGAGTTCTCTTTCTCTCTCTGCAATTCCCACGCCCAGCTCCCTCTCATCTGTCTCTGCCATCCCCCACTCTCTCACAATCTCACTGAGTCGAAACCCCTAGCTCCCACTTCTCTCCAACCTGTCAGTCCCTCTGTCCTCCTCCCCCAACGACGCTCTGACCGAAGCAACAGGCAGTCATCTCTCCCCGAGTCAAAATTCGCAGCCCTCCTCTCTCTTCCTCTCACCAAATCCTATCTCTCTCCCTCCCTCCCTCTCTTCTCTCTCTGCTCGCTCACTCTCTCCCGACAGCATGGTCTCACCGAGTCCCACTGCAGCTCAGAATACTTCTCCTCAGTCACTCCAAATTACTAATTGGGTTACACTCCGAAGCCCACATTTTCTACACAATCTAAATCTAACTCTCACTAAGCCACAAACACACAATTCGACATCTCACAAACACTGAAATATAACCACGTCATGTAAGCAATGCAAGATCCATAAACCAAGAATTACAATAAAACAAAATTGAAAAGAAAGCAAGAATTTACAACCAATGTAAACAAACATAAGCACCTATGTGTATTAGACATTTAACCAAATCTCATCAACAAAATTAACTCCCTGTTCACTGACTCATAGTCCACTGCACTCAAATTCATCGTCTAAAATATATAAAATGTGGTAACAAAGACGATGCCTTTCGATATAGAGAATGTTAGGCAACCAAAGATTTAAGATCCAAAAAGTTCCCAATTCCAGCACCTTTATGTGACCAAAAAACTTTACCAAGTGAGCACTGAAGCAGGCTGCTATACATCTACTCATAGTTGACTGAGTTGTCACTGTTTCAAATAAAGAAGAAAGGAAGAAGGATATTCAGTTGCAGTCAGCCATTCTCAGAGAAAGAGTCTTACACACCATAGAATTTGAGAAATACTAAGCAGAATTAATGTTAGCTAATGCATACCCCCGCATCAAATCAAGGCAGAACATCTATTTTATATCATAAAACAATGTGTAATCCTTAAAACTAAAGTAGATATATCAGAATCTAGCAATAGCATTTTCCACAACAAATTTTGCAATGATATCCCGCTGATAAAGCTTAGTTAATGATATATGCATTGAAAATGCAAACTTTAAAAACATGTCAAGGACTGTAAATACATTATCATCTGAGTGTAACTAAGAAGCAATCTGCAGAATCGACTACTATAGAATTTGAACTTATGAAATGTGGAGTGGAGACCTGAATGTAACAAATTGGTGTTGAGTGGATAATTCCAAACATAAAAAATTTAGACCACCCAAACGCAAACAGAAGAATTAAATAAAGAATCGAACGCATACGCAATCTAATTAGACAAATAAGTGAACTTTCCCATGCCGAAATCCGAAAGGCCAACAGAAATCTCTCATTACAGCACAGAAGACAAAACTTATAACTAATCAAAATTAGGTGAACCAATTGAAGAGAACATAACTCTTGTAACCAATCAGGAAAAGATGCTTTTAAATCCCAGAAAAAAAATTAAGAAGAGTTTTTAGAAAACCATCATTTCATTTATTTTACAGTCTTACATTTGGGATTAAACAGAAAATATAACTAAAAATGCCAACTTTCTCAGAAAAAAAAACTACAGCTATTTTTTACAAATTTCCATCACCCAACACTGAAAAATGAGAATCACGAAGCAACGAAGAACAGAACAAGTGAGAACCGAAACGTTAAAGACAACACGTACCATTTCAAAGACCAAAAATCCTGCGAGGAAAAAAAAATCCCAGCAAATCAGTACATCGGCACTCCCTGCAAAACCCCAAAATCAGAAAATTAGAAAAGAACCCAAACTCAGTGGCATGGTCCTCGTTTCTCCATTAATCAGAAGCTGATGACCTAATGAAAAAGAACCCAAAACAGACTGCTTAAATTATGGAAAGTGCTTATAAAGCTCATGAACAACTTTCAGAGCCTGCATAGAAATGGTATAGCGTAGATAACAATAGACAATAATACTATGCACAGCATAACCTAAATCCGATAAGTTGCATTCCACATACACACACAGATATGTCTACATATATATAGATGACCCACAGAGATTAACACCATGCGGAGGTGTGCACGCGCGCACACATAAAATATACATGCATACTTAAATTTTTCAGACAATAATACTTCACAACATATGTTGCAAGCCAGGACTATTTGGTTGACTCAAATGAAATTGATGGGTTAGAAAAAGAAAAAAATACAAAGACGGATGTTCTTATGTCGTTCTCCTCTTACATCGACAGAACACACACACCTGTGTTTTAATGCTCCAATACTCAATGAGAAGGCACCAGGCAAGAAGAAGCTCAAGGCTGGAATTCCAAAGAGTACAACCTATAAAGCAGACCACAAAAATTAGACAAAACCCAAAAACTAAACAGTTAAAAAACCCCCTAAAATGAAAAATAAAATAAAATAAAACTAAATTTGCAGAAATGTCATAGCTTGTACCCTATCATATCCAAGTTGTCGTACATCCTCGAGCCTTTGCGTTCATGTGTGCTTTCTCAATTTGAGTGTAAACCCCCAAAATAAACTGCAAAATTCTAGAAATGGAAAAATGAACTGCAAACCCGTCAATCATTTCTCAAAATAAACTGCAAATCACAAAATTACCTACTCCAAATCGGCCGGAGAACTCACCAAGAAACAAAGGCTTTTCTGGGCTTAAAATTTCCTTCGAATTGGGACCAAATTCACTTTTTTTCAGCAAGAGGTTGTTGTGCTTTGATAGTTTCTGAGAGAGAGAATCGAAGAGATTTATAACGGCTTGGTGGTTTTATTACATTTCCATGGTGCTCTCCCTCTCTCTGTAGTCATCAATATCTTTCTTACCAAAAACGCCATTTTTAGACCGCAAATGTCATATATGGTTGGAACTTGGACCAATGTCCCTATCTTTCCAAACAGTTAAAGAAGAACAAATCCATTCAAAAAAGAAAAGTAAATCACATACTTCAAAAAGCAGATGGGATTCTATTCTGCAGTCCGTATCCAAAAAGAAAGATAACGTCAACTATAATATGAGTCCCCAATTGCAAGGAATATCATCTCTCTCTCTCTCTCTCTCTCTCTCTCTCTCTCTCTCTCTCTCTCTCTCTAGATTTTCTAAAATGGAAAACAATGGTGATAAGTGATTGAATTGAAACCAGAAAGAAACACATTAGACACTCACCTGAGAAATTCGAAGAGCCGCTTCCTTCTTTCTCCTTTGTGGTGAAGATTTTATGAATAAAAGACTGAAACAAAAGGGTAAACACAGAATCCAATTAATTAACAAAATCTGAAAAAAAAACACCATTCTGTTTGCCGAAAGATCCTTTTGCTTTTATCCACAAAATAGAAAAGAAGAAGAATTTGGAAACAAAAATAAGAAAAAAGAACCTTCTTTTTTTCACGTCTTGATTGCTGACAGTCATTTCCAAAACTGCAACTTTTTCATCAACTGTTATTCACAGACCTTCACAAACCTACAGATAACAGATAAATACTGCAATTAGATCAAAACCCTCCAAACCGCGGATAATTAAATTGCTCCTATTTATTTTAAATCGTCAAAAAAAAAAAAAAAAGGAAATTTCATGAATTGGACAAAATAAATTATAGATTAAAAACAAAGGACAGCGTGAGAATATTGGTAAAATATTGAGATTGAACAAACGAATACAATTCCCAGAGAATAAGAATCTAGTTACCTACATCCAAAAAATAGCATCAAACACAAACACCCAAATGCAATTCAGTTTCAGATGACAGAATAAATAGAACATAAATTAGCAGAACTTTGGTGAAGGATTATAATGAGACAGTTAAGGTTCCAAGCTCTTTGCCTTCTTGAATCAATCAATTATTTTTCAAAACAATCTAAGGTCCACATAAACTTCCATGCTTCTATAGTTTAGAGCTAACTTCTTCTTCTTAAGCCTTTTCACACCATGTGGTTCGAATTACGAAAATCTATTTTCTTTTTTCAGTTTACATGTGTGTGAAAATCCAAATTCCAACTAATACGATCATAACTGCATAAAAGATAAGAAAATTGACTTCCCGAATTCATCAAACATTGAGAATTCATAATAAAATTGTGGGAAACAACTTCAACCTCCACTACACCATTCAAATTCCTAGTCTTTAAATTAAAAACCATAAGATTCCAACTTTCGTCCAAAAAAGAAAGGTAAAACAATAATGTAAAAGAAAAAGCATACATTATCGAACCCAGCAATGTTCTTGTTCTCCGCAAAGAACTCCGCCGGCGATTCTGCAGAAAAATTGAAAGCATGTCTAATGAATATTCAAACACATGCGTACAGAAAACGAAGGCAGAGAGAGAGAGGAGAGAGAAACTCTGTTCGAGAACACTATCTCTGGGCTTTCTGGGCGTCTTCGATTGGCGTTTCTTAGGCTCCGTCTGGCTCCTGCTGCTCCCTCGAGCTTCCATTTCAAATTCCCAATCAAATCTTCGCCCCCAAAAAAACTGTCGATCCTCTTCGAATAGATCGATCGATTCTAGAGACAGAGAAAGGAGGAGTAAGACGACGGAGCCGAGAGAAGGGAGACGGCGGCGAGAGGAGGATAGGATGGAGGCGAGACCGTCGTTCTCGCGGGGTCTGCGAGACGGAAGAGGCAAGGAGGGTTTGAGAAATCCCTGGAAATCAGCCTACCCCTCAAATCCCGACGGCCCCCATGCTTTTCTCTGACTGTACCCCCTCTCCCACTCATGAAATCGAGGATCCCCATTCCTCCCTCTCCCTCTCTCTCTGTCGCTCTGTCTCCCTCTCCCTCTGTCTCTCTATCTCGATCCCAGAGCGGCATGGCCTCCCATCCCTCCAACAACCCTCTGACCGATGCATCAGCCACAGGACACCCACCCGCACGTCCCTGCCGAAAATCCTCTCCCCTAAATCCCCGCGAACGTCTCCCTCCATCACGTCAACCCTTCCGTCCCCCTTCTGTCTTTCCCCCCGGTGAAAGGCCACATCCAACCCAAAACCCTTTCCAAAGCCAGTGAGCTCCAAAACATATGAATATACATACATATATATATATATATATATATATATATAAGGATTGAATACACATATAAGGATCACTTTCTTAGGTGATGTGGAATGTCACAGTATGACTTGATAAAAAATACAAAAATCAAATTTGTTGCCAACAAAAGAAACATACATGTTTCAAAAGTAATATTGTTCCAAAAATCAATATAACAAAGGTGTTTTCCTAACAATTGACAGGGTTTAGAATGTTTTTCTTAATTATTCACCTTTGGTTTGATTGCATTCAATCTCAAGACCACAATGATGCGTGAGGCGCAATGACAAATGGATAAATGAGCCTTGATCATTGCTACATTTGGATTCGAGCATGTAAAAATGTAAATTGCTTGCTCCAACTAATTTGAAGAAAACCAATAACGATATGCAAAAGGAAGAGATCATGAATATACCTCGAGCAAAGTACACAACGTTTGGAGCAAAGGATTGTCAAAAGTGAAGCAACAAATTTTGTTATTCTAACTAATTTACTGACTAGACTAAAACACAAGCTTGTGTAGGCTACACGAATACAAAGGTACTCCTGCACTGCAAATCCTCTAAATCCACTCCTTACGGGAACATGCTGTTACAAACAATCAAAATCGATTGAATTAATACCACGTCTTTTGTTGCTCTAGCAATCAAGTTGGTGCCTGCACATGTAACAACTTGCTGCATCAAAACTGCCATTTATGACTCTGCTACGATGGCTGAATCTGATCTCACCGAAGCATCTGTTGGATGAGCTTATTCATCATAGGAATCCAAAACAATAGACCTATAGTACAAGTGTAAATTACATCAGTTACAGGTAATAAACAAGCACACAATCATGTAGCGCCTGATACTTGGATGAGCTTATTTATCATACTTAAAAATTGGCTCTTGCATCATGAAATCACTTCTAAATTTCTTTAAGCCTTTATGTTATGTACGCTGGTTCATCAAGAACCCACAAGTAAAATCCTTTAAGATGTTGACTAATCACTGCAGATGATTTAAACCAATAGTTCAGTATACAATTGATTTTCTCCTGCAAACCTTCGTCCACTAGTTAAGAGAAAATTAGCCCCTTTATCAGAGAAAATTTTGCAATGCTTAAGCTACCAAAATAAGTGGAATGTCACAAAACTTTTCCCCAATTGGCTGAGAATATAAAGCCCCACATTGTTTTCTATCAATCTAACATTTCAATTTATAAAAATCCTATGCCTTTGCACTTGGTTTTTCTATTAGATGCTGTAGAAGCAACATGATATCAGAACAAGCAGTTCGTCAGGTTTCAGGTCCAATTTTGTAAAACGTGCTCCACATCACAATATAAGGGAGAATATAAATTCATGTGAGCGCATATGTGAGGGGATGTTTTGAGTATATCAATTCTCACATCAGGTATTCTAATGCTTATATTTCAATGTATAAGATTTTAGGACTCCACCTATTGCCCATTGCCTCAACATAATCTTAATAAAAATTTGTGCCAGCAATTCATGATACCAAAAAAATCAGTGTCACTGAGCAGCAAGACAACTTTTCTTTTCACACATAATTTTCTAGAGTAATGTCTTTGCTCTATCATCGTCAATATTCTAACTATTAATTAAGCCACAAACACACTGAAAACAGGGTAAGAACAATGTTGTGGCATTGTCTAACAATACGAATTTTCCAACTAAATTTAGACATTGTACTCTTAATCAAAGGAGCAAAATTGTGACAATGACCAACACCATTAGAGAAACCTAAAGTAAATATCAAAAAGGCATATTCATAACCATTTCTTTCAATACTTCTTAACATACACATATAACCATTGCGACTGAACCTCATTTGTCAACCTCCATAGCTTGGGCGGCTTTAGCCTTATTCAGCGCCGTCATTTTGGTCTTGAACTTGTTCTTGTTCTTGCCTACTTTAAAACCTCCACCCTTCTTTTTCTTCTCATTACCATCAACCTGTTTTACATAATTTAGTTAAAAACAAACTCTCCACGAATGTTTAAATATTCTCAAACATTTTTATATATGCAATTTATTGCTTTCTCTTCATATTCCGTATGTGCCTATGTATAATCTAATTAATTTTTTATGTACTTATATATTATATTTATGCTTTTAGCATAGTGTATGGTTCACATAAGGTAACAAATAAAATACAAAAAATTAATCACACAATAAATAATTTTAGTAAATAACTATAAAAATTCTGATCGAAAATTAGAAATTCTCAAAATTTATAAATATGTACAAATTCCCATTCCAACTTTAATGAAATATATATTTAGATTTAAATTCTTTTGGGTTCGGATCGAAAATTTTAATGAGAAAATCGAAAATTCCATTCCAACTTGTACCCTAGACGAATCAATTTGCGGTTGTTGACTACGGGCTTTCTTCTGTGGCCCAAACAAATGTGCAGTTTCTTGGCCCTTGAAAAATTAATTATCTTTTTGGGCCATAAGCGGTTTCATGTCGTAAAATTATTTTACGAAAATACCACAACCTTCAAGATTACGAAAATACCACAACCTTCCGCTCAGCATGAGGGAGGGAATGTTGGATTGGATCAAGACGCAGAGAGCGGAAGAGCCCAGTAAAAGGTTATTAATTTGGTTCAATCGAGAAGTTTTAATATCGGGGTTTTGGGTTTTTGGAATCTGGGCCGTGCTGTTTCTGTCGATTTCAGCTTTGCCAAGCTACCTCAGGTGCAAGTATTTGATCTCCGAAGTCCCAACATTGCAGACGATTGTAATCCAAAGAGAGACTATAATTTTGGATACAGAAATCGGCCCATTAATCAGGTACTTATAAGGAGGCGAAATAGAATTCCAAATTTCTGGAAAAAGTACGTTTTGATTCTGGTTATTGATGACATGTTTTTTATTTTTCTGTTTAGGGTTCTTTTGATTGCATTGAAATATGGCTGTAATGATCGTTGAATTCCCTCAACTGGGTAGTATCGAATCCTATCGAATTCTACGTGTATGGACTCTGTTTGGATGCTTGCAAAGTTATGTGGGTATTGGAAATTCAGTTTGGAACTGAGAATTTGGAGTTGTTTTCTATGTCGGTTATGAGTTTGATAATTTGAGGCTAAGAAAGAATTAGAGTATACTTATTAAGTTGAGTTAGGAGGATTGCGGTCTCGAAAATTAAGAAGGGTTACTGCTATATAATGGCACTTGCATTTGTTTTGAACCTACAAAATATTTGGCCCTTTTCTGTACTGAAATCCGATGACCTGAAAGTATCGAATGCGTTGGTGCGCAAACTCGGAATACCTGAACGCACGAAACAATTTGTTTACGCAGATCAATAGCCTGAAACTCGGTCTGTAATTTACATACTTTCTGCTCAAAGTTTATCCGAGTGGTCAGCAACGGATGCTGATTGTCTAATTAGGGAGATTAGACCTGATGCTGTCATTGCCCAGGTGGGTCATTCAACTCTGACTGAAATTCAATCCGAAGAAAGTGTATTATGTGATGGTTTTGATAAATCATTTCCCACTTCAACGTTAGCAGTTCTCAAACGATGTTTTTTAGAGAAGGTTAACAAGGAGAGGTATGAAGATATTGCGGGAAACTTGGTTTTACAGGAGATTTTTGGGGTTGGTTTTCATGGACATTTTTTGGCAGCCAAGAGGGTGGCTCAGGAGGTTGGATCATCAGCCAGACTAAGAAGTTCAAGACCATAGTGGCAGTAGTGGATGCTAGTGGCTTAGCAGGTCTTAGAAAACACTGGAACACTCCTGTCCCTTTAGAGGTCAAGGAAATGGTCGGAAAGCTTGTTACTGATTGTGAAGGTGAGGGGGAAATGTCAAATGATACTGACAGGAAAAGACTGCTAACAGATAAACCTTTGGTGGTAGTAGGGGCAAGGGGTAACAGCAGTTTTAGGAGCATCTTCACTCTCCAAAGCTGCGACACTCAAATTTCCTGCTTCAACCTTGATGAAAGTGGTGACTTTCAAGGTTCCAGCTTCACTTAAACTCTTTCTAAGACAAACCCATAAGACGGTGGGATTTGCTCTTAGTAAGACGCTTGGCCCCTCAAAAATGGTAGTTCCAGGTGTCAAATCAACAACTTTACTGAAAGCAACTGCTTCTGCTGAGAAGATCCGAGTAGCTGCCCATAGTGTTATAGGTGCTGCAGAGAAGACTAGGTTTTCAGCCATGAGAACAGCATTCTATCAAATAATGAGGAAACGGCATATTTGGAAAATTGGTGTCCTACCGTGGGCTACCTTTGGGTGTAGTATTGCAACTTGCGCCGGATTGGTTGCGTACGGAGATGGGATTGAATGTGCTGCTGAATCTCTACCTGCAGCTCCATCATTTGCCAGTTTGGGTCCCGGGATTCAAAGTTTACACCTCGCATCTCAGGAAATATCACTGAGAGATAGCATGAAATTACAAAAATCTACTGAGTCCCTCATGTACAGATTGAAGAAAGTCAGAAATCAGTAGTAAGAATGCAATTCTTATCTTATTTGTATAGTAATCGTTGCTCTTTTCAAAGTGGTTGATGGATAAAAGGTAAGACTTCATGGAACTTACTGTAATTGTAGAGTGTATAACAATCTTCGTAGAAAACTGAAAGAAAAAGTGTCTAGAGCAGGGGT